AAAAAAGTATTTCCTATTTCTTTGAAGTTGGGGTTTTAGCTTTGCCTCCAATATCATCTTGCCTTGCCTATCAAGTCTATTGATCGGTTCTGTGGTTCGATTCCATTCTTCCTTTCTGGCATAAACACTGCTGAATGTAAAACCATATAGTAAATAATGTTTAGGAAAAAATGAGAAGCTATACAACAATGGACATTTTCATCTCACCACATGGGTTGTAAGCATGGGCAGAAGAGTACAATAATCTTACAGTCGCAGCTATTTTATGTAGCCAGCAACTACATGAAAACAGATGAATAGAAAGAGATCCTATATACTGTATCTCAAAATTCCTGGCACAGATTCTCATTCAATTAGTATTAATATTAATCTCAACACATAGGTCATTCCTTCCCATTTCAGGATTTTTTTTAAGTAAAACAAGATACTTACAAACTTTTTCTTCCTTTTAAAATTTTTTGTTCAGTAAACAAACTCCTATTACTACAGTTTGGCTCTGTTAAGTAAAAGCTTGTATTATATTTACTGCTCAGTTTGGTGAATGCTTCTATGGAAGTAAATTCTACTTACTTAGCGCAACGTGATCCCTGTTAAGCTGGCACAGAATTGCAACTTAATAGGTTTTTATACTACCCAAACAAATGTAAGCAGATTTCTCAGACAGTTCTGTGGGCTGATTTTATAACATGTTTCAAGTTTCATTATCACATCTCACTTATTTGTTTAAATTCAGCAATATGTGAGTGAGTAAATTGGATGAGAGGGTCACTTTTCCCTTATGACATTTTCTCACATTAGATTGCCCTTTTCCAAATCAATATGCAGAAGAAAAACTGGTAGCTGTATTATTTGGAAAGGATGATTTCTATTAATGAATATATTTAAATTGTGGGTTTAGGTTTCCTCTGCACATGGCATAATAAACCATATTTATGCATGCTTATGCATGTTTCTAAAATTAAAATCTAATATAATGATCTATATATTTAATTTGCTTAGCAGCATGAGATTTTTTTAAAGTCTCTCACATTTTTTGCATACATTTTTAGGAAACAGGATTAATCTCTAATTTTTTATACTTCAACACCCCACATTACAACTTTACTTTGCTTGCTGGGATAAGGGAAATTGCCCAACCAGTTATACTGTAGAAAACATGTTTAGCTAATGCAGATTTCTGTCTTAATTACACTGAGCTTGATTTTTAATCGTCATTTGCTCCTATAAAACACTTTTGAATGGTAATTTGTACTTTCACACATACCATATTTTTCGGAGTATAAGACGCATCCAAGTTTTGAAGAGGCAATTTTTTTAAAAAAGTAGGTAGGTAGATAGAAGGATAGAGAGGGAGAGAAAGAGAGAGAAAAACACTAGGTAGGTAGGGAGAGAAGAGAGTAGTTAGGTAGGTAGGTAGATAAAGGGATAGATAGATAGATAGATAGATAGATAGATAGATAGATAGATAGATAAGTAGAGAGAGAGTGTGTAGATAGGTAGGTAGGTGGGTAGGTAGAGGGATAGAGAGAGAAATAGAGAGAGAAATAGAGTAGATAGGTAGGGAGAGAGAGAGAGTAGGTAGGTTGGTAGGTAGAGGGATAGAGAGAGAAAAAAGATAAATACAGTAGATAGGTAGGGATAGAGAGAGAGAGAGTAGGTAGGTTGGTAGGTAGAGGGATAGAGAGAAAAATAGAAAGAAATACTGTAGATAGGTGGGGTAGAGAGAGAGAGAGAGTAGGTAGGTTGGTAGGTAGAGGGATAG